AGACTCAATGTTGTCGTTGTTGGAGCCTAGTCTCGCCGCAAAACTGCACCAATCATATTACCCAGTAAAAATGTACGGCTAGTTGTACAGATATTTCGGGAAACAGAAACTTTTTGGTTTGTATAAACTTTTTCAAGTCTACTGGCACTGCGGTCCTTACGCACCCATACCTGCGAACATGCCAGTTCATACTGCTTAACTAACTTGGATTCTCGAGCATCACTGCAATATGTCAGTGGAGTTTTTTATTTGTCTTTCAGCATCAAAACTGATTCACCTTTCTTATGAACATCGGAAAAAGCAGAAGGTTTTCACGGTATATTTTTGGGCCGTCACTTAATCTATTTCATGTGAACGGTCTACTCAAAATTAGCACAGAGGCAAACCTCTCGCTGCTGATCTCACATTCTAGAACCGTGCTTCCAATAAGCCTCAAACCGATCTTACAGATTGTTAATTTGCATGGAGACGTTGAAATCGTCTTTGTGGTATACGGGTATGTACATTACAAAATATCTAAGCTGTATATGGAAGAAGGGTCACGTTGTCTTTCTGTCTTACGCTATGTCATCCTCAATCTAGTATGAGGAAACTGCACACAGCAAATAGACTGTCAAAAAGTTGACCGAAATTACTTTCCCTCGACAGACGCCTGGAGAGTCCCAGATACTCTTTAGCGTGTAGGTATGGCACTTTCTAAATCGTCCTAGATTGACGAAACCAGCCCAAAAACGAAGAGGATCCCTACTGTAGGGGGCCTGCTTAGCTCATAACCGCGAAGATGGTTCCTGCTCCTTCACCAACAGAAAAAGCGTGGAGCCTGAAGCGCTCACTCTACATCAGCTAAGCAAAATAATCTTTGAGCGTGTTGATTTCAACGCACCCGCTTCCCAAAAGTGGTTTAGCTGAGTTATTCTCTATCTTTTTCTACGAAAAATAGAAGTGTGGGAAGAAGATCGGTTCACGGTAAGAACGCACAGTATCGTATGATTTTTCCTTTCCAAAAACAGCACCTGGAGCTTGAAATATTCCATTGAGGGGCTTTACGACTGCCAGTTTTAGAACACGGTTGGGCTATTTGGATGGTTCTTTCAACACTTTTGATGGGCTATGATCTTGACTGGGCCCGCGTTGACACCACAACTTTTGAATGGAACAGGCTAAAACCATTTATCTGTGCAACCTGAGAAACCTGCACATCTGCCTGGCAACTTTGTGTAAGCTGCCAAATCGCCGAATATCTGGAAACCCACGGTGTGACCTGAAGTAAGGCAACCCGAAATTAAGAATAACACCGCAAGCATGGTGCCTCAAATACCCCTGAAGTCATTAACCAAATAAATGTGACGTTGACGCTTCCCGCAAAACTCCGTAGAATGCGCTAATCTCTCGGAGGTTCACTATTATACCCCCTACCGAAGTTACCAATAATAAGCTTCCTTCTGGTCTCACTTGCCTTACGTGAAAACAGCAAAAAAGAGCGTGAAAGGATTCCCTTCCAATAACCCATTTACTTAGCAGTAAAGTCACTCAGCGGAACACTGCTTTTAGGTTCCTGTCTCCTGCCTACAAAAACAAAACTCACCTCTGTCGACTTCACACCAGGAGTCGTACTTCGGACACGCTAATACTAATCTTTGATAATTCGCTTTTGTTATATTTCTGTCAGAGTATAACGCAATAATTTACTGCTTCTCCGAAAACAAGTGGTTTGCGCAAACTGAACCCAGGAGGGACGAAATTTTCAATTGTCGACTAGCATCAAGCGTTAAGACGTCACGGCGAGAAACGGACAAACAAGCAAACCGGCGTCGGACTTTCAGGTCTTATATCCTCTGGCAACACAACAAGCCCGGGTTCACGAAATTGAAATGGGACGGAAATGGTGTTAAAGTGCATGTTCACAAACTGCTCCAGTCTATCGAGAAACATCCTTGATCTTTAAATATCGGTTTGCTTTGAACAACCGTGCATAACAAAACTTATGAAACGGACACGTAGGACGCTGAGAGTTTGGTATGTTGGTACCTGGTTTTCCAAGCCGAATTCAGCAACGGAGGGTGAGGCTGCCGTTTAAGTAAATGCTTGCCTACCCTAATCGCCTACTGTTATACAGCTCTTCGACATTTTTTACTGCATTGTTGGTTTGAAGTTCGCTGCATGGTACATTCTCTTCTTCTTGGTGTCGAATAACACCTCCACTCAACTTTGCCGGAGAACGATCTATTCCTTGAGCAATACCTTAGCAACCGACCTCCATCTACCGTTCACTCGTCGTTTCCTCGTAGTTTGGCATGACGCTATCAAGGATTTTTGAATGGAGATCCAGCCCATCTGGTTAACCAGATATTTTGCATCGGCACTGAACAAGGTCGTCCAGCACAACGTTTGGACTAAACAGGCCGTTGCGCCCACCAGAAACAGTGCAGCCCAAAGCGGATCAACGTTTGATTGAGGTATCTCCCAAGAAAGGCAATTCGGTTGACCAACTGTTAATTAAAGCTGTATTAAAAAAATCGACTGCTGTTTTCGGCTACTAGACTGATGGCTTGTAACCTTAAACAAGGAGCAGAAACCTTTGCGATGCATGCTTCTCAGGGGCGCGTGTCCTCCTTGACCGCCGTAAACCAGCGCCCCCACATTGAACAGAAAAACAGGTTCAAAGTCAAGGAAATACACTAAGCTGATGACGCCTCGTTTTAGTGGCACCAACGCGCAGGCCAGCGGCCAAAATCTGCACAAAGAGATTTGGGTTCTTTCGGTCACGTAGGTTGGCCTATTCCTCATGGATGAGCAGGTGTTTTTCAGTGTGCGGAAGAGCAGTAATTCAGATATCCGTCAGTGAAACATACGAAAACCGGCCACGATACAAGGACTCGTCCGGAAACAAAAAAGATATGTTATTTAATATATGAGGCACGCTCAAAGAAGAAGCTAACTGCCATTTCTTTGAGCGACTGGAGTGGGGAACCTAAGAGTGACAGAGTGGTGGTAACTGAATCCTGCAGAGAACACAGTACAGACCTGTTTTCCGCCTAAAAAGCCTCATCGTATCCAACGCCTTGACAAGAAAACTAGGAAATGCCCTAACCTGCTTGGTCTTCACTGCAAAGGATGCTCGTCAACTCCCGGAAAAGCCGAGCCCCTTAATCGCGTTCGGGTCAGACAATGTCCGTTAATGTATCCAACTTTTATCGGCAAACATTTCTACCTGGTGTGCCTTCGGTCACGCGACGATGACAAACTTCAGTCCGCTTGCTGTGATGCGGCCGTCACGATCATCTACCAACCAAGTGACCGCTTATCCCCGGGAATCTCTGGGTATATCAAGTAACAACGTACAAACGGGCGTTTTTCAGACCCCCAAAACCATTCGTTTGAGCCTCACGCCTTGTGTCACCCCACAATCTTGAATCTCATGGGATTATGGCGTTTCTATACGATGAAACATGCCAAACTATATCTGGCTGAACCCACTCCTCTCCTGCAACCGTCCATGTTAAATGTCCTAAAGGACCCGTTTTAGAAGCACCATTTTTTCCGATATTGTCGGTATCTTTTCACTCACACACAACGAGAGGCTCAGAATGCAGTCACTTATCAATTCACAAAACTCATTTTAAGCTACATGTACACACTCGTGACGCTTGTGGCGTTTGACTGTCTATACCGTCTGGTTTGTGCGAAACGAGCAATATGCACAGACACAACGCAAACATACCTGCATACAGAACAACCAAACAAAGTTCAGGCAACAACGAAAAACTGCAAAAAACACCAAACTCGGCGTATAGCCGTGCAGGAATTACGGCGTACAATCCAAGGACAGTCAGAAAATGCGTGTAACCGCTACGTCGGCGAGAGTTCCAAAAGAAGAATATTTCAATGAAAGTGGAGGCCCCACAGTCATGGGTACTTAACTCACAGCTTTCTCCTAATGTAAGTAAACGCGTCAATACTTCGATTCGAGGAAACTCAGTGGACGTCTTTGTCGTGCGCTGTGAGAATGGATTAAAAGACTTCATGAACCCAGATGCGAAAACTATTTAAGAATCCGGTCACCGTTGAACATGTCCTTCTCACTCCACCATAAAATACTGACCCAAAAAGTGTTTGCTGTTCTGTGGACTATCCGGCGCACTTTTCCCCGTATCACTAGCGTGGAGTTCAAGGGACTCTCCGGGGCCTTCGTCAGACCTCCCATTAAATACAACAACCGGGCTACGTACTCGAGACGCAAGAACGTCACTCTCTTATAACCTGTCCAGAGAGCTGCTGAGAAGGTAGCTGATGGCCGCAAATCAGTTTGCCGTGAAACGCGTCTCAAAGTTCCCGTAATCTTAGCCCTAGAATATCATCAACTCTGGAAGACCTAATACTTACATATGGCCTGTCCGAACTGGGTTTGGCTGACATGTTTTTTAACGGTAAACCAAAAAATAGACGGCCAAGACATGCTAGGTGGATTTTTGGCTCAGATTGCACACTTTCATTGGGCAGCAATTTTCTCCTTTCGGTTAGTTGGTGCACCGACTGCTGCATCTAGAGCCGAGTTCAAAGTAATTTTGGATGCTTTTGTATATGAGCCCTCGCATTGACAAGGATACTGCTCAGCCCCTGAAACCTAAAGATCGGTGGTTCTCTTTTTCCACTTGCATTTCGGAATAAAATCCTCTACCCTGTGTATGAGTCCATGAAATTCTCAGGGTACTGTGTCTATTGTTATAACTTGCTATCGCAAGGTCACGCGGGGTCGTTCAACCTCGCGCATTTTGGTCTGCTCCTTCGACTCTCGCTGTGATGGCTGAGGCTGTAGGTTTTCGGTTTTGTGCGTTGATTTTTTAGCCAATTCGTGTGTTGATAACCGGTGCTGCTGGCCAAATCGGGTATGCGCTGGCTGGAATGGTTGCTCGTGGGGACATGTTTGGCCCCCATAAAGTAACTTGCATTTTCTATATACTATGCTGAAGGTTATCTTACACCTCTTCGATATTCCGCCAATGTTAACTTCCCTTGGTGGCCTGCGTATGGAACTTGAAGACTGTGCCTTTGAAACGCTCAAAGATATTGTGGTAACGGTTGAGGCCTGTGAGGCCTTCAAAGATATCGACGTTGCATTGCTGGTTGGGGCGATGCCAAGAAAAGAAGGAATGGAGCGGAAAGATCTTCTGAAAGCAAACGTTAACATCTTCAAGGAACAGGGCAAAGCCCTCGACCAGTTTGCAAAAAAGACCGTCAAAGTTCTGGTTGTCGGAAACCCCGCGAATACAAATTGCTTAATGATGAGCAAGAACGCACCGTCGATTCCGCAAGAAAACTTCACCGCCTTAACACGGCTTGATTTTAATCGTGCAAAGTCACAGGTGAATTCCTCTCAGCTGCTTAACTTTCATGCCTAGATTGCACTCCGCCTTGGTGTGCCAGTCTCGGCCGTCAAAAATTGCATCATTTGGGGGAACCACAGCAACACCCAGTTCGCTGATGTTGCACACGCGAAGGTTATGTTACCCGGTGGTGAGAAATCCGTATATGAAGCTGTTAAAGACGACTCATGGATCCGTAACGAATATCTGAGCACTATTCAGAAGCGTGGCGCGGCGATTATTTCCGCCAGAAAACTCAGTAGTGCGATGTCCGCTGCTAAAGCAATAGTAGACCACATGCATGACTGGTGGTTTGGGACGAAGCCGGTAAGTTTTCCTTCCCGGCTGACATTTCGCTTTCAGGGAGAATGGGTAACTATGTCTGTGATTAGCGATGGATCTTACGGAGCCCCTCTGGATATCATGTTCAGCTTTCCTGTCGAGATAAAGGATAAAAAGTGGAAGATAGTCAAAAACCTTTCAATGGATGACTGGGCTAAGTCGAAGTTCAAAATAACCGCGGATGAACTAGTTGAAGAACGTGAAATGGCTCTGAGCACCTAGATAAGCATTAATCCGGTCACATTATCCTGCACTAGTTGTGTTCCTTGTAACCATTGATTATAAAATGATGCCTTTTATTAGCGATTGAGTTTTTGGTTTTTTTCGGGCATTCAAAGTCCATTTTCAAGACATTACAAGAAGATCACAATCGTATTGGTAAATTCGAGGTTTAGGGCGTGGGACTGCATGTCAACTTTTTGACGGCAGCGTCGTTACTCGAAGGGGAGTAATGAGTAGTTGATTTACAGCACGCTTGCGCTAGTCTGGTACTGTATTAGGCTGCATTGTATGTAGGATTGAATGCTGATGTGGACGGGTTATCCGCGGAAAAAGTTGCCAGGCGGAAATTGGTGTTACTACCGACTAGTACCGTCCCACCAGATTCGTGCTTGGTTTCCCGTAAATTTACATTGTGGCGCGGTTCATGTGAGGCCGCTATGGAATGCTCCGTTCCGCGTGACACTGGCAAGCCGTTGTGGCTACCCCTTCCGACGCTTTCGGTCTTCGGTGTGTCCCGTGTTACTCGATGACGGACCATTGTGGCAGCCCAGCGCTCTTATGATCTATCTAGCCACATCTGGGGAAAGGAGACTGTCTTAAACAACTGGGTATTATCAGTGAGAAGGGGATTGTGGTGTGTGCGGTAATCACAGGGGGTTTCATTTGACGCTGACCGTAACGAGGTTTTTAGCGTCACATCCTCCTCACAGTCGCTCGTGAAATGCTTCAAGTGGGACTCCAGCTGTTAGGGGCTGCGTTGACCAGATCTTCACATCCTATAGGTGTTAGGACAACGGCATACGTATAAACGACCCGCACTGTCAGTGCCCCTAAATTCCCTAAACTCATTCAAATGGGTTGACCAGTATGTTTTCGTTGATACCCTTACCCAGAAAGGTTGTGAGGATCATAAGCTGTACTCTCAGATGTGCAGGCGTGTGAGTATACGAAGAGCTCTCGAACCGATTCTGCACACAAAGTGGTATCCTTCAAGGGTTCCCGATCTCTATTCCTGTTCGATTTCGTGATCGACGCGATCGCGAACTCTGTTGTTCGAATGGTTGCTGACGAAGGCTTTTTCGATCTTGAATGTACAGACAGCATCGTTCGAAGAGGAAACGAAAGTGCAGGTGTTTTTGGGTGAACTGACACAAAGTTTAAGGCCATATTTCTTGGCATACACTCACTGAACACGCCCTTTACAGTCCAAGGAAAAGCACTGGAAGTTCTGAAGCGTTCCAAGTATTTTTGAAGTCGTGCTGGTCCCGATCGTAGTGGGATAAATGAGGTAAATGCGTGAATCGCTAAGGCTGGGGTCGCGCGCGGCTAATTTGAGACACTTATGGTGGCAAAGCGGTATGTCCCCGAATTTCAAGGGACACGCGTGTCAGGCTACAATACGGACTCTTGTTGTATGGCTGTGAGACGTGGTCAGTACGAGCAGTTGGGTTGATTGTTGGATTGGTTGTCTTGAATAGCCATTGCCTCAGAACTATAGCTCGTGTAGCCTGGTGTCGGCGAATCCGCAGGGACGATTTGGAAGCAATTGTTGGTTGTGCCATGGGGACTTCAATCGAAGAATGTGTCCAACACCGGAAGCTATAATGGTTAGCCATGTGTTGTGCATGCCGGACCGTCGTTTAACGAAAGGAGTGCTGTCTTACTTTTCCAATGCAGAGTGGCAGAGGTGATCGGTCTCTGACCTGGTAAAGTGAAATGAAGTCGATCACGGTAATTTTGGATGGCAGAATTCCTCCAAGACCACAGGGAACCCGGTCGGATTATCTCCAGCCACACCTTTCGAAGAAAGGGGTCAACCAGTGATGACCCTTGCGGAAGATTTAGAATGGAGCGACTCCACCATCGTCCCAGTCTTCAAAAATGGTGCCAAAACTTCATTCGACGACCATCGTGTCAGCTGCCTAGTGGCCGTTGCATCCAAGATGCTCTATGGCATTATTTTGCTTTGCTTGGTTGACCATCAGGAGAGACGGGTTTGTGAGAACCACGCTGGATTTCACCCTAGAGGATGACCGACTGCATGTTTACCTTTTGGCAAGTTCTTGGATAGAAGCACTCTTTCAAACATCCTACTTGTTCGTTCCTCTTGATCTCAGTTGCTGTTGACTCTTGCAATCGCCAGGAACTTTGGCAGTGTCTGCCAATCGAAGGTGTCTCTTCCAAATTTATATTCCTTATGAGGGCACCGTATGGGAACTCCTGTAGACACTTAGAGGTACATTGCAAGTTTTCGCCTGAGTTCACTTCCCCTGATGCAAGACAAGGCTGTCTTCTCTCACCTTTCGTCTTCAACTTTGCAAGTGAACTGCCGCTTGAAATTTCTCCGCCGGCCTCTAAAACCCCGAGGATCGAAATACTCCTGTAACGGTCGCTCAGAAACGTTGAGTATGCGAATGATATTGCTCTCCTTAGTTCGGATCCCTTAGAAGTGCAAACCCTCTTAAATAACTTAACTAGTTGCCGTACGGTTCGGTCTGCGCCCTTAACGTCCAGTGTATAGTGCTCCTACGTTACCCGGTGGGATAAAGCCCAAAAACCATACTTGTTGACGAGCCGATCGACGTGGCAGGCAAATCTGTCCACCTTATCAGTTGTACATATTCCAGTGGACTGGCTTGAGACGAGGATACTGTCCAAATTTGGGAGGCTAGGGCCAGCAGCATCAATGGCGCCGATATGTCGTCACTTTGTCATAATCGTCATCATGCGTTCAGCTGTAGCACCCGTTGGCTGACTGCCAAACCGCCCGAAGGAAGCACGAGGGCTGAGATACTGTCCAAACCTAGACATCCGCTTCAGCCGTCTTGTCATCATAATCAGCTATAAGAGCCGCGTACTATTCGTACAGTGATTGTTGCTGTCACAGTTCCCTTTACTAATGATTTGGAGAGGCGAGGTAGGTGGCTGTGCGTTGATATAATTAATGTGTAAATAGTGGAATTTTAAGTGGGAATATTGGGAAGGGAGCAATCCATTGAAGTCAATATCTTGAGTGCACGAGTGCCGTTGAGGGCGCGGCTGGGTTACGTCTGACTGTCTCTAATCATTGATGTGTCCCGTCTCGAGGTCCCCATCCAAAGAGACGACACAGCTAAGTTTGCTGGTAATGGCCTCCATACTTCGGTGCTAAGTCGTTGCTTGATCTTCGCTAACTCGTTTCCACTCTTTGCGTGGTTCTGCAAAAACAAACCTTCGAAAAAGTCGGTCGACTGGCATACGGAGCATGGGACCAAACCAGTTCACCCTATGGACTGTGATCAGTTCATCTACAATGGACGAGTTATTCCCTCCGAAAACCATTAGGCGTACTCCAGAATTACTGACCCGGTGTTTCCACCAGGCTTGGACAACGCTCCGAAGACGTCGATGGTGAAACGCTAGAACTCTTGACATCCTTGGCGCGCAGCGGCCAGGTTTCTGACCTGTATAATAATATGGAGCGCACCACAGCATTGTAAACTTGACCCTCGACGGATAGGCTAATATCACACCAAACAAACTGGTCTGCTACCTTAGTCGGCTCATCCACAAGCATGATGTTAGGATTCGAGCCCACCAACTCCTGCACTGTATGCTTTGCAGGTGTGAAATGCGCACCAAACCGTGGGACAGAGTTATTCAGATAGCACGATCGTGGTGTCAGATCCAAGAAGTGCTATGCTGTCTGGGTTCTTGACATCCGAGTGAATACCTCTTGAGAACTTAAATTCCACAGGCACTAGAAATCGTCCAGCTGTAGCACCTTTTCTGTACCTATTTGCCATGCCACACGAGGGCTGGGATACTGCTAGGCTGCCCAGGCCTAGACAAGGGAATTCGAGAAGCAGAGGTCGGGTTCAAACCAGGGACCTTCCGGTCAGTAAATTCGAGTTCTAACCACTAGGTCCATCTCACCCCTGCGACGGAGTTGAAGGGGAAAGGTGAAAGTGGACAGCCCTGTTTGGCACTACTTGATGTGCTGAACTCTGTCGAAAGCTTACGTAAACCCTTACACGTCCGGTTTTTAGCGTATAGTGCCTTAAGAATGGTCGATAATTTATGGGGAACATATTTGTTCCACAGGCGCTGCCATAGTGCCTGACGGTCCACATGGTCAAAAACAAATTTCAATCCAAGGAGGACAACTATTGTTGGTTGCTGGAAACAGTGTCGCTGTTCCAGAATCTGTCACAAGATGAAAATGTGATCGATGCTTTCTCTTGCAGGACAGAGCCCAGCTAGTTTTTCACGGACTTGTCTCTCTTTGTGTCTAGTCAACCGTCGAAGGACATGTCCAGAGGCAACCGTCGATGAAACGGCTACCAGGTTGATGCCACGGTGGTTTTCACACAGTGTCCGCTTCCTGTTGACATGTACCATATCGCAAAAAACAGGTTTGTCAGATGGGTCATCAAGGGTTCTCCGCTTTCTTTGAAAAGGTCTGGATATAAACCATCCTGTCCCGGCGCCTTGCAACGTTTCACTATGGATATTTGGTACTTTGTTTCTTCCGGAGGGCGACTAAAGTTTACATTACATTCGCCCGTATGCGCTGTCACCGGAGGCTGTGTTGCAGGATACCAGCTAAAATGTTCTTCGCAGTTCTTTCCAGTCGACGCTTTTGCGAGTGAATTAATGGGCCGCCTTTTTCATTTATCGTTTCACTGACAGCTGCCCTCCTAGAACCAGCTAATCGTATCAGTTGATATAGAGCACGGTTGTTTCCCGTAGCAAAACCTTTCTTCATCTCGCGAGCTTTCGATGTTCACTAGAGCTCTCAGTCTTTCCTTAGGCCCTTCACCATTTGGAGTCGACCAAGAGGTGGTAAGTGACCTGGCAACAAAATAGGAGACCGATAAACTAAGTCAAGTTGGAAACTGCTGCTCTCCTGTATAAGGACTCTGGGAGCCAACTGAGCAACGGTTAATGGCATTGGCGGGCGACTTAATCGCGCAATCAGTGGCGCTTGTGCACCACCCTTCAATGCGTAGTTGGCCAGTTCCCCGGTCGTGCGATCACCTCCAATGATCGGCTTTATCTCCCCTGCTCTCCCATTTTTTGTTATCTGCAACTGCAGCAGCTGGAACTAACGTACCCTTGGTACTTGGCTTACAGCTGGTAAACAAGACCGAGGTGATCCATCTTATGTGTTGGATGAGATGGCATTGACAATAGAGCAACACTCTGATTCAGGCCGAACGAACCTTTGTGCACGGCGCTACAAATTCCAGGTCACGAATGTACAATGTGCACTCATCAGAAGAACGCACAAGTGGACTGTGTTCACAGTGAGGTCAACACCACCCACAAAATAGTTAATATAAACGAGTTGGGTTTGGAACTAGGGTTTCCGCGTCATTGTGAAGAATCACAATCTTAACCTACATTGTAACGCACGTAACACAACACGCGGATGTACATATCCGGGTGCGTGCAGTCATAACGTTGGTAGTCCATTGAAGAGGATCCTGGACGATCTTTTTCTTTGGTAGTTTGATCCTTCACGAGGACCGTCACTAGGTGCGTACTTTCGAATCA